GCAGGGCTATTGAACATTCTGATAGCCCTTTGGCATCGCCGGTAGTCCTGGTACCTAAGAAGGATGGTACAACCCGGTTTTGTGTGGACTACCGGAGGCTGATTGACAAAATGGTGTCTGATGCCTACCCGATGCCCCGGATAGATGAGCTGCTGGATAAGATGGCACAAGGCCAGTATCTCACTACCATAGATTTATGTAAGGGATACTGGCAGATAACACTAGCCGAGGATGCCATCTCCAAGTCGGCGTTTGTCACCCCGTTTGGCCTGTATCAGTTTAAGGTCATGCCATTCGGGATGAAGAACGCCCCGGCGACTTTTCAGCGGATGGTAGATCGGCTACTGGATGGGTTCCAGGAATATGCCTGCGCATATCTGGACGACATCGCCATATATAGCCAGACCTGGGCAGAACATTTACAACACATGGGGCAGTGATTGACCGTATTGGAGAGGCAGGGTTGACACTGAAACCTAGCAAGTGTCACGTAGGGATGGCCGAAGTACAGTACTTGGGCCACTGGGTAGGAAGCGGGCAGCAAAAACCCGAGCCAGCTAAAATTGAAGCCGTAGCTAAGTGGCCCACCCCTAGGACCAAGACCCAAGTACTCGCCTTCCTGGGTACCGCTACAGAAAATTTGTGCCCAATTACAGTGCTCTGGCCAAACCCCTGACTGACCTGACTCGCAAGAACTTACCTCAACAGGTCGTCTGGACCCCAGAGTGTGAACAGGCATTTACCCAACTTAAGACGACTCTAACTAATGCACCTGTACTTGCTGCTCCTGATCCAACTAAATGATTTCTTGTCCACACAGACGCTTCAATGTTTGGATTTGGAGCAGTACTGAGCCAAGTTGGAGCAGATGGCGGAGAACACCCTGTAGCTTATTTAAGCCGGAAGTTGTTACCTGGAGAAGTGAGCTACGCCGCCATTGAGAAAGAATGCCTGGCCGTGGTGTGGGCCCTGAAAAAATTACAGCAATATCTCTATGGGCAACCCTTTTCCTTGCTCACAGATCACAACCCGTTGGTGTGGCTAAACCGTGTGGCTGGAGACAATGCCAGGCTGCTGTGCTGGAGTTTGGCGCTGCAGCCTTTTGACTTTACGATCCATTACCGCCCTGGGAAACAAAACTGTAACGCCGACAGGTTATCTAGACAAACTGACCTTGAGAAGTGATCTGTGAGCCCTCCTCCGGACATCCCCAAGCCGATCCGTTGGGATCAGACTGTGTATGCCGGCTTGGTTCTGGGGGAGCATTGTGGCAAACCTAGCCACTTGGACTAAACAGAGACAATATGTTTTAAGGGTTGCCTGTATCTTTAATACCATTGTATATGTGCCTGGTTGTAATCTGCTGTATCCTGTATGCTGTATTGCCTATCTGCCAAACGCAGATAGTCATTTTCTATTTCGTTTCACGAACAGCACCTTTGCGAGCCGTTCGTGAACCAAATGAACTATCTTTTAATAGCCCACACACTAAGGGACGTGTGGCGCTTGTTAACCGATTGCAACAATGTTGCAATCGGTAATTAGAGGCTCTCCTAGGTGGCCGCCGTTCGACTACCGACCACGCGGCGGTCGGCCATCTTGGATCCTTGGTTCCCCAGCGGTGTTTGGTCATCGAGCGCATAGAACTGAAAACGGCTACTCGACGGCGCAAACATCGCTGGGCTTCCAGACCGTTTGGGAGTCCTGGGCCGTTCGGTAGTTTGATTCACCTCTATCAATCAGTACTTTTAACCTATGTTATAAATGTGTTTTTCGTGCGGCGTTCGGTTAGTTTAGCTGGGATCTGAGCAGTATTCTCACGAACTGTGTGCTCAGACCCCAGCTATCTACCTAACGTCCATTCGTATAAATCGACCAAGTATTACGGAAGTTATATATTTTAAAGTAAATTGCCGATTCTGCTGCACGGAGGGATAATCCACTTAACGGTATATTCCAGTGGGAGTATCCCTCTCGTGCAGCAGTGCCTGATGGGAGAAATGCCCAGAATGTGAAGTTCCCCATGTAGTCCCCTACTGTGTTACCCCTGCTAAGGCAGTATGGAAACCCCTTGCATGGGGACTTGTATAAATACTGGAGCTGCAAATAGAGACCTCGGTTGACTCCCAGAACTGTGTTTCGTCCGGTTACTGGGGGATTTGGGATATTGCCTTACTTTTCAGCGCTGACTGTGGATTACTGTATGTACCAGCGGAATTCGTGGGATTTAATATTGCCGGTCCGCTACACCAGCCTCTAGTGGCTGTCTCACAGTGAGAAGACGCCAGCGTCCATAGGAAAACATTGTGAATGCTTTCCTATGGACTGGCTGAATGCGCACGCGGCTCCTGCCACGCATGCGCATTCAGCCAAAGAGGAGAAGAGGGAGGAGAGGAGGAGGAGAGCTCCCGCCCCAGCGCTGGAGAAAGAGGTAAGTTTAACCCCTTCCTCTCCCCAGAGCCTGGCGGGAGAGGGTCCCTGAGGGTGGGGGCACCCTCAGGGCACGATAGTGCCAGGAAAATGAGTATGTTTTCCTGGCACTATAGTGGTCCTTTAAGGGAAGCTTTACAATATATTGACTAGCATAAACTCTTTAGTGAAAACAACACTGAGGATAAATGGATCATCTTCCAACAAATATTAGAAAGGTACATTTCTCAGTATGTACCATTGGGAAATAAATATAAAATAAACAAATTAAAACCAACATGGCTTAGTAGAGAAGTAAAACAAGAGATTAAAAATAAGAAAAGGGAATTTAAAGCATTTAAATCAGACAAATCAGATGCATCTTATAAAAGATATAAGGAAGCAAATAATGCGTGCAAAAAGGCAATTAGACTTGCTAAATTTCAAAATGAAATAGAAGTATAGATCAGGGTGTTGCAGTGGATGTGATCTATTTGGATTTTGCCAAGGCATTTGATACAGTTCTTCACAATAGATTAGTGTTCAAACTCAAGGAAATCGGTCTAGATGAAAATGCTTGTTCTTGGGTAGAACATTGGCTTAAAAACAGAGTACAAAGAATTGTCATTAATGGTAAATTTTCAAGCTGGACAAAGGTGGCAAGTGGTGTCCCTCAGGGGTCTGTTCTGGGATCCATTCTATTTAACATATTTATAAATGATCTTGAAGACAGCATTGAAAGTCATGTTTCAGTGTTTGCAGATGACACAAAACTTTGTAAAATAATACAATGTGAGCAAGATATTACTTTGCTGCAGAGGGATTTAGATAGACTGGGGGACTGGGCACTCAAATGGCAGATGAAATTTAATGTTGAAAAATGCAAAGTTATGCACTTCGGCGTAAAGAATACACAAGCAACGTATACCCTTAATGGAAGCAAATTAGGGATAACACACGAAAAGGACTTGGGATTTTTTATAGACAACAAACTATGCAACAATGTGCAATGTCAATCAGCAGTGGCCAAGGCCAGTAAGGTATTGTCATGCATGAAAAAGGGGATTCATTCTCGGGATGAGAATATCATTTTGCCTCTTTATAAATCACTGTTGAGACTACATATTGAATATGCTGTGCAATATTGGGCACCTGTTCTAAAGAAGGATATTATGACACTAGAAAAAGTGCAGAGGCGGGCTACAAAATTAATAAAAGGAATGGAACATATCAGCTATGAAGAAAGGTTAACAAATTTAAACCTATTTAGCTTAGAAAAACGTCGCCTGAGAGGGGATATGATAACATTATACAAATATATCTGAGGACAATACAAACCATTGTGTGGAAATCCATTCACAAACCGGACTTTACATAGGACACAAGGCCATGCGTTTAGACTGGAAGAAAGAAGATTGTGGAATTCTCTGCCTGAAGAAGTGGTTTTATCAGAGTCCATACAGGTGTTCAAACGGCTACTAGATGCATACTTGCAAAAACAGAATATTCAAGGATATAATCTTTCAATGTAGGGTAATAACTGCTTGATCCAAGGATAAATCTGACTGCCATTCTGGGGTCAAGAAGGATTTTTTTTCCTAGCTTGTTGCAAAATTGTGCTTCAAACTGCGTTTTTTGCCTTCTTTTGGATCAACAGCAAAAAACAAATGTGAGGAAGGCTGAACTTGATGGACGCAAGTCTCTTTTCAGCTATGTAACTATGTAACCCATCAAATGCATTATGGATGCTGCAGTTTTGTATTTGTGTGTATGTAGGCTGCTATATTGTATATGTGCACGAGTAGTTTGTGGTAATGTGAACAGTGTGAGAGTGCTTGTGTGTGTATATGGGGATTGTCAGTGGTGTTGTGTTTGTTGGGACTGTGTATTATTTGTATGAGAGTAAGGCTTATTCTGCAGCTCTGTGTATATGTAGCAGTGTGAGTGGCTTTCATGGGGTCTAGTGGTGGGGCTGGCCAGGTACAGATAAGGGCAGGAGCTGCGATAGCTGCTCTACTCCAGTGTGGATTCCCATTCGCAAGTGCTGGAAGGAAATGATCAGAGATAACTTCCTCTAAGTGCTTCTACGTGTAAATGGGAAACTAATATATTTGTCAAAATGCATCATTCCTCCAATCAAATGCTGTTATGTGCCAGTTTGACTCATTTCTGGAAGAGGGAGCACTAGTGGCTGTCGGGTAGATATCCACTAAAGGTATATTTAGCCCGTCAATCTAAGCATTACTGTTTCTACAAATCAGCAATGTTTTATATTGAAAGGTTAAAAATACATTAAAATAAAGTAGTCTTTAATAGTCCTCTTTAGGTGAAATTGTTTAAGTGTTTAGATTGCACCTTTAAATGAATACTTCCAGCACCATAACCACTACAGCTTCCCCCATTGTAAGAAGTCAAGTTTTTAAGAATTTGCCTTATTACCTGGCACTATAACCACTACAACAAACTGCAGCAGTTATGTTTCATTAACGATTGTACAAAAGGCATCAAACATCACTGACCGATATTACTTCTCTAAAAATGAATATGTACATTATATTACTAGGCAGAGTAGCTGCACATAGGTTGTTATTTTGGTTTTTAAACATTCTTTTTATTAATAGAAATTCTAAGTATAAAATATACAGGAAAAAAGAAAACAAATGTACATGGACGAACCAGAAGTTGGGAGAACATCTTAAAGACCAAAGGCACAATGGTAACTAGAGCCTCTATTTAATATTTTTGGATAAACATTTCAAGCGATGTATCCGCAGAAGTCATCTTTAAAGTCTATCGGAATTTTTGTAAGTAAATAATTTGAAAAGTTTATCCAAAAATATTCAATCAAGGCCAATGAAACTATCCGGATTGAAGTTCCTGAATCTATTGTTTGTTACTCTGGCCAGTATAAGAGGAAAGAAAAGTCTGTAAATCAAATGAGAGAGCTATCAGATTTTAAAGTAAATAAAAGTGGAAGAAATAAAATATAATACACAGAAAACAAATGTCAATATAACAAGAAATCTTTCAACTGGAGAGGTAATCCGTGAAATAGGCTGAGAAGGTGGGTGGAAAGCTAGGTTAGTAAAGGGGTAGCAGACAAGATCTATTGCAGCAAAATCATTTTAGTACAAAAAAAGGGTACTAACTACCAAAACCACTGCAGCACCTTGTAGCAGTTAAGGTGCTGTTAGTCTTTTGCTGTTATCCAACAATTTTCGGTCAAAGCACAGATTAAAATAGGGGTTCTCCCCATTATTCAGAGCCAGACCCTCTGCCTCTACAGAACATACACCTCCATGTCTGAGTGTTGGGGTAACCAGCCTCCAACCCATCCCATCACTGCCATCCAAGGCTGACTAGATAATGTTTAGTTTACAAATAAATAAAACATAACTTTTATTTAAACTGAAGAATGAGACAAATATTCAAAGTGTGTGCTGTGTGAGAACCGTAACTTGTATTTTGTTACGTGTCACTCCTAAATATAAATTTTCCAAAATTGCAGAACAAAGTCAATAAACTTTTAGCTTATTAAATAGGGGTATAAAAAGTCTCTTTTCAAAAAGTGAAAGATTATAACTTCGACTGGATGCGGTTTTTACTTTGCAGTTTTCGTTTACATCAATGATTTTATTTTTTGTCTTGTCCCCAATACAGGTTTAACTTTGCCTCCTATTCCTAACTCAGCGATGCCATAGTATTCCTTTCGTGTAATGCTTAATTATTGCAAGTTCTATTAATCATGATTGCCTATTTAAGAATGCACTGTGAGTTCCCCATTGCTTAATTATTAAGTCTCCTGGCCTGCTTCGCCATGTGGGCCCAGTGACCTGTCTGGTTACTTCATCAGTGGCTCTGATTCCCAACTACAGTTATGGATTATCCCTGTACATTTCTACCATACTTGCTTACGACCTTGGCTAGCACTATCTGACTAAGCTCAGGCATCATCCTCATTTCCCCCTGCATTGCTGGCAACTCTTCAATCTCAATCATGCTTACAGATCTCTCTGGTACTGTTGCCTCATTCCGACAGACTCCCTCATTTATAGTATACATCAGAAAATGGACTTTGTTTCGTGTGTAGCTTGATACCACTTACAGTAAGCTCAAACATTGCCTTGTTTTGTCTCAACTTTTTCAAAGACTCTGTATCTACCAAAACTATATACTTTCTATGTTTGCTGCGTGACATAGTCGCTCGCTAACAATTCTCTACTCTGGAATATCCAGGCTTCAATAATCTTCCCCGTTGTGACCTTCTATATTCCTTGGCCAGCGTTGGTCTCCTGTGTAGCTTGTCTAACCTGTGTTTCACTATTTTAGCTAATAAACTCATGGAGTTAATAAGGCCGTGGTGGGGTAGTTATATTGTAAATACTATATATATATATATATATATATATATATATATAAAATCTACCCTGACAATACTGCTACAATAGTTTCATAGTCCATTGTCTAACTTACTTTGATCAAGCTAACTACATTATGTACGGACTTAAATGTCGCAGTCTATATCATTAGTGATAAAGTCCTTTTATTTACTATTCAAATTATTGCGTTCCCCAATTATTTCAAATGATTACACCAGCACTACAACGTATCAAGTAATTTTTCCCTTTCTACTTGTTTTTATTTTCCTTTGTAGTTATAAATTTGATATATCATAGACAAACTGCTGTAGTATAAAGACCCCTCTATGCACCCTAACGTTTGCCATGATGCATAGATGTTATGGCGATTAAACAATACCTGTGATGAATGTACACATTAGTCTATTGACTTTACTCTTTAATGCTGGGAAATGTATAAAATCAGTGTTTTATATAAAACACAACCTGAATGTATTGAACATTGGTCTGGGATTATTTAATTTAATGAGCGTTATGTTTTATTTATTTTTACACTCCGTTTGGAGATTATAGTTTCTTAATTTCAGGTTTATTTCCATTGTGAACTCTTAGGTGAGTATTAAAATGGCCTTTCTGGCTGAAACATTTCCCACATTCAGTACATGAAAATGGTTTAAGTCCTGTGTGTATCATTGCATGTCTATCAAGGTTGCTTTTCTGACTGAAAGATTTCCCACATTCAGAACATGAGAATGGTTTAAGTCCGGTGTGAATCCTGAGATGTCTATTAAAGCTGCCACTTTGACTGAAACATTTCCCACACTCAGAGCAGGCGAAAGGTTTCTTTTCACTTTGAATCCATTCCTGAGCAATAGGCGATTTTTTCTGACTTAAACATTTGCCACATTCCGAACATGAAAATGGTTTCTCTCCTGTGTGGCTCCTCAAATGAAGCTTAAGAGTGGAAATACACTTAAAGCATTTCTCACATTCAGAACAAGAATGTTTTCGTTTATGCTTTTCTCCACTGTGAATGAGACGACATCTGGGATGAGATTTTGTCTCCTGTTTCTCTTGTTTAATAAGGGGATGTGATTCAGCTCCTTGGCAAGTCTTGTGAAATTCGATAACATGTGATTTTGACTCAAAACCCTTATGTCCAATTAGATTTGTTTTACAGGTAATGTTTTCCTCACATTCTGAACAAGTCGCTTTCATTTGATTTAAATTGGTGAGTGACACTTCGTGACTATCAGAGCTATTGGTATTCCTTTCATATTCTATCATAGGATCACACGGAAGGGTCTGAATGTCCAGATCACTGATATCGACTTCTTCACACGAAGCTGAATCATCCGTAATAGGCGTAGATGGACATTCTGTCTGTATATGCTCTGTGTTTGCATAAATGTCCGTGTCTGTGAAATTCCCTTCTTCACAAGAGGCTGAATCCTCCGTAATATGAGTAGATTCACATTCTGTCTGTGTCTGTTCTGTGCTTGTATAAATATCATTGTCTGTGAGATATCCTTCTTCACACCAGGGTGATTCCTCTTTAATATAAGTAGATGGATATTCTGTATGTGTTATGTTTGTATGAATGTTTGTCTCTGTGAGATTTTCCTCATCACATGAGGCTGGTTCCTCCTTAATATTAATAAATTGATATTCTGTTTGTACTGTTGGTCTAATAATGTCAGCGTCTGTGAGAGTTTCATCGTCATATGAGGCTGGTTCCTCCTTAATATGAATAGAGGGATATTCTGTCTTTTCTGTGGGTGTAATAATGTCAGTGTCTATGAGATTCCCTTCTTCACACAAGGCAGGATCCTCCTTAATATGAGTAGATGGATACTGTGTCTGTTCTGTGGGTGTAATAATGTCATTGTCTGTGAGATTTATGTCTTCTTGTGGGACTGGTTCCTCCACATTAAAAGCTGTTGGTGATTTGGTTTGTGAACATTCTTTCAGTGAGTAAATTTCTCCAATTGGTAGATTTCTTTCTTCATGTAGAGATATTTCTGGTCCAACAGATTTGCTTGGTGTCTTATTTAGTTCATTAAATGTCATAGAATTTTCTCCATGATTAACTGAAACTTCACCTACAGTCACACAATTTGCTGATGGGACCTGGATGGGTAAATCATCGGTTTCACTTGAGTTTAGAGAGCCATCTGCTGGAAAGAAAACAAATAGAATTACAAACCTTCCTTTTATCTCTTTCTTTGCAAACTCTGAAAATACAGTACGAGATACGGTATCTAGAGTATAATGGTAAAATATTGAGAACTGTTGTCACAGCATGTGCAAACCATTTGGTCATGAAAGACAAAAGTAAAAAAGTGTTTTTCAAACTCTAGAGGCACAATGAATAAGGTGCCTACATCTATAAATCGCTCGTTACTGGTTTTTGCATCTGCCTCCCCCAATAAATGCTGTCTGTTTCCACTCACTGCAGTTTATGTCTGTTTATTATTTTGTTAAAAGAAAAAAACAACAGTGCAAGCACCATAACCACTACAACATACTGTAGTAATTATGGTGACAGAAGTATTAACTGGTGTAAAATGGTTTGACTTCATACCTGGAATCTACTGGGTTCTGCTCCCCCTGCTCCCCCCCTCCCCCTCCAATACAGCTGATCAAGAGCTGGAGTCTCTGAACAACCTTTTCAGTTCATCTCTTGCCTTACTCTCGTTCAGTAGGGGCAGCCATTCCTAACCCAATAGGACCAAAGACACCACTTACTTGTAAAGACCAGGCTTGAGTTTTGACAAACCTGACTACCAAATCATGTTTTTGATCCAAGTCCAAATTCTATCCAAAACTTACTCAATTGAGAATTCAGAGTGAATCTCGAATTTAAAACCAGAGTAGCCCAACTCAAAGATTTTTTTTTTTATTTCATTCAGCTATTTTGAGCTTAAATTTTAAAATTTACTTCAAATTCTCACTTTAATAAATACACCTGTTAAAGTGAACCTGTCTTGACTTTTGAAGCAACTATTTAACAATCGTTATGGTCATCTGTATTTGAACATGATACTTTAGCCTCGATTTAATACATTTCCCGAGTTATTCAATTGTTAGAAAAAAACTTACCAAATGATGTAACCACAGAAGTCACCATGAAAGGCTATGGGAATTTGTGTAGATAAATCATTTTAAAAAAAAATAAAAAATTATTACAGTATTGAATCATTTGTAATGCTTATTAAATTGTGGCCAGTTTGTGAATGATATAAACCAGCAGCCATCTTTAATACTGGATGTTGCAGACAGTATGTGTTTCTCTTTGCATTATATATTGCATTCCAGGTTAGGAGAAGAATATTTTGGAATATCTAGATTTTAAATTGTTTCATGATATTTTTCCCCTAATTTAAGAAGATGTTTGTCCCTTTTATGTATACCACCATGTCCAGGGTCTGTCAAGTCTATTTGAATATTACAGTCCTGCAGACATAGAAGAGACCAATATCTACCATCCACCTTTCTCCATGATCCTGCTAGTCCTTCATTTATTTTGGAATCGAGGTCTCAATACTCATTACCCAGCTTTGAAGTACTCAACAATAGTTCCCAATTCTCCTGGAGCTGTCGGGGCAGACCCACATCTCTCAATATCTGCCACTAAACCCATTAGGCAGAATCTTCTCTCCTTGCCAACATGTACAATTTAACGTGACCCTGGGACATGTCTATGACATCGCATACTGCTATGTCCCTCCTTCAAGGTTCGTAGGCCCTCAGCACTCAAAAGTGCTCTCAGCACTTGGAGAAAAGAGAATGACTGATGGTCTGCATCTTAATCTTTGGTGGATCTCTCCTCATCACACAATTAATGTTTTCTGCTTGGCTATTTTGGTGGGCCATGTCTGATTTCTGGTGCCTCGGTGGGCAGAGACCTGCCGGTTTGTCAGGTTCTTCACAGTACACCCTTGTCTCACCCACTGACTCCCAAGTACACCCTTGTCTCACCACACTGTGCACTTCCTTTCAGTCCCGCCGGAAACCGGAACCTGAAATAGAAGTTCCTGGACCGCGGAGCATGCTGTGAAGCCGGCCCACGCTCCAAGACAGGTAAGTAAATCTTCACATTCGCTCCATAAGACGCACAGACATTTCCCCTCACTTTTGAGGGGGAAAAAAGTGCGTCTTATGGAGCGAAAAATACGGTATATATAGTTATAACACAAGCTGTGTATATAAAAAGTGCTTTATTTGGGGGCGGAGCCTGACCAGCAAGCTAGATAGACATGCCTTGCATGTGCGACAAACACAGTGATTTTTCGGGGGGAGGTGCTGGAAAACGGTACCTATGGAGCCCTACAAGCAGACATAACTTACCCGCAACTATTGACACTGGAGTCAATGTTCTGAGTGCCCGGGAACCGCGGTAGCAAGGTGCGGCCTACCAGAGAGAGAGCGTGGGGGAAAGACAGCCACTTTCCTCCTGCAGTCCCAAGACCCGTCTGAGTAAGACTCTTCTACCCCCTCACCCCTGTGGTTATCCTGGTACCCGTCGTCCCGAACTGCCACAGCCTAACCCGTCCTAGAGGAGTACTACTCCTGAGCTGATCGGGAATGGAGGGAAGATGGCGGACCTACAAGGCTCCTCTACATGCGGCCTGACCCTGCTACAGTATGACACAGCAGGCCCCAGCACTACAGCACCAGACACTCGACGCGATATTTGAAAAGTCCTGGGAGAAGCTGTAAGACCGCGGACAACGAGCAAATGCCCTATGTGACAAAACCCCTGTTTTTTTTTTTTTATTCTTTATTTTTGCACACGATAGGCAATGCAAGCATAATACAACTTGGAGGCTTGCGCAGAAGCCAAAATATAAAAGAGCATACTTATGAACATAAAAATTAACATCGGCCCCTATGACAAGCCATTTTATAGATTCCATACAATTTGCCCCCCATCGAGGATTTTATGTTTTTATATGGCTACATCACTTAAATTCCCAATTTTATGCATGATAGGCATAGCAAGAGCAATACAACTGTGAGGCTCGCACAGGAGCCTAAATGCAAGAAATCACGAAATATGACGTTAGCCCAAAAGACAAGCCTCTTAATGAATGCTATTCCTCTCGCCTCCCATCGATGATACTGTATCTTTTAGTCAGGCCCTGCATCCTGAGAAGGAGCCCTAACTCCATCCATGTCAGGGTGTACTTTAGGCATCCTCAATTCTCCGTCAGTATACTCATGCCTGAGTGAGGGAAATAAATGATGCCACCATCGACTGAGACAATGTTAGAAATAAAGAGGTAAAAAAAAAACAAAAAAAAACCCTTGTAAACCAAGGGTTTAGTAACAAGGTTGAGAAAGCGTGGAAAAGAAAGATAGGGAAAGAAAAGAAAAGATAAGGCGAGGAAGAGGGATTAAGAAGACGAGAAAGATGTGAGTGTGAAGGATAAGGAGGAAGGGACGGGGGGACGGGGGGTGGAGGCGGACGAGGCTGAGGTATTTCATTCCGACTCCGACCATGCAGTGTCGGATCCCAATTTAAACCATATATTCGACCCATCAATTGTTACCGGAGCCCATTACGCTATTGTCCCATGGTTCCCAAACCCTCTGGAAGGTTACGGTTGTTCCTCTTAGTCTAGCAGTCAGATCTTCCATGATTCTGCTTTCCTTTATCCTAGAGATCACCCCCCCAAACTCCGGGCCTCCAGGTGGCAGCCACGCCGTTGCGACAGCTCTGCGTGCACTTAAAGTTATCGCCCGTACCAGTTTCTGCTCTCTTCTCGTCCATCCCTCAATAGATCTATTTAACAGGTAGATCCATGGGTCCAAGGCCAGGGGTTTGCCAAACGTCTGCTTCAAGAGGTCTTCAACCAACTTCCAGAAACCACGGATTTTCGGGCATTCCCACCACATATGGAGGTACGTGCCTCGGAATCCGCAACCCCTCCAGCATTCGTCAGTATCTATCTTGTGCATTTTGTGCAAAGTTATCGGAGTAGTATACCAGCTGAGCATGGTTTTCCATGCCTGCTCCTGTTGCGTGACACATATCGAAGCGCTCTTGGTTGCCTCCCATATCTCCTGCCATTTGATTCCTTCCAGTTCCTCCCCCAGGTCCGTCTCCCATCTATCTGTGTATTTCAATCTACCCCATTCTTTAGTCTCCGTGCTGAGATGTGCATACAGAAGCGTAATCATTCCTTTGGGGGCTGATCCCTCTCTACATAGTCTCTCGTAAAAAGTAAACTGTTCCTGGGCTGCAGCTTTAATACGGGGTCTTCTAGCGAAGTCCCTTATCTGAACATATCTAAAGTAGTCTGCTGGAGTTAGGTGGGTATTTTGTTGGAGGTCTTGGAAAGGTATGACATCCCCCTCTCTATATAGTTGGTAAATCTGCTGTAGCCCAGTCTTTTCTATATTTCGAAAGTTCCTAGGGGCCATGCCAGGTGGAAACTCTATTTCTGAGTATCGGAGCCATAGGGGAAGGGGATGAAGCGAGTCCAAATTTGACACAGTTCGCATCCCATAATCGGAGAGTTAAGGATGGCCGGGCATGTTACCCTTATCATGGGCCTGTGTTCTTTTGGGACCCATAACGTGAATTGGGGGACATCGAGGCCTACCATCAAAGATTCAATTTCCACCCATCTCCTTTCCCCCACAGGGGAATGCCACACGGCCACCTGAGAGAGTTGTGCCGCCAAGTAGTAATAATACAGGTTTGGGAGCCCCGATCCCCCTCTATCTTTTCGCCTATATAGGATTTGTCTGGCTATTCTATGTCTCTTATTGTGCCACACAAAGTCACAGATCACCCTCTGTAGCGGCAACAGTTGAGATTTTGTGATGCGGGCAGGGAGAGCTTGAAAGAGAAACAATATGCGCGGGAGGATATTCATCTTTACAGAGTGAATACGCCCCAAACAAGAGATAGGTTTGTCTGACCATTTTTCCAGATCTCCCATTAGAGTCCGTAGCATGGGATCGTAGTTGTTAGAATATAGTCGATCAGGATCTGCCGTCAAGTGGACTCCTAGGTATTTTAAGGAGTTCGGTTCCATCCTTAGGTGGTGCGTTTCCTTTATCAGAGCTACATCGGCTGCCGGTAGACCTATAGACATCGCACCGGATTGTTGGCCTTATAGCCGGACAGGCCCCCGTATTCTTGTATGACCCTCTGTAGTGCCGATATTGATTCAAGTGGGTTCGTCACAGTGAGAAGGACGTCGTCCGCATAAGCGGATACAGTAAATTCTTCCCCCCCAACCGTTACCCCACTGATGTTTGGGTGCCTGCGTAATGCCTGAAGAAGGGGTTCCATAGCCAGCACGAAAAGAAGGGGGGAGAGAGGACATCCCTGTCTGGTCCTGTTGTGCAGGCTAAAAGGGTTCATTGGGGCTCCTGCTATCTGTATCTGTGCCCTTACATCGTGATACATTGCTCTTGTAACTTGCATGAATTCATCCGGAAATCCAAGGTGCGTCAACACTGAGAACAAGAACTTCCATCTAACCCTATCGAAGGCCTTCTCTGCATCAATAGATATGACCAGAGAAGGTGTTCCAGTTGCTACTTGTTTCCAGATCAAGTCGACAGTCCGTCTGGTGTTTTCGAACAACTGCCGACCCTGTATGAACCCTACTTGATCAGCGTGGATAAGTGAGGTCAGAAGCGGGTTCAGTCTGTCCGCCTGTATCTTAGCCAAGATCTTTAAGTCATGAATGCAAAACCCCTGTTTTATGAATGCCCAGCCTTTTGTATTTCATCTGCTGTTAGTGTAGTTAGCCCTATTTCGCCCTTTCCTAAAAAAACGAACAGCCATACCACCTGCACTGGGAGTGTGCAGCTCATTAAATCGCCCAGAAGCTGCGGTTAACCACAGATATTTGTTGAACAACTGGGTGGTCGCCGTTCATTTGAACAAACACATGGTGGCAGCCATTTTAAACTGACGAACGCCCATGGGTGTTTGGTCGTCGACTGCGTCAAACTATTTTCGGCCACAATTTCACACGAACACCGTTGGGACTATCCAACTTCCACCTTGTTCGTTTATATCTACACGAACGCCGTGCCATTCGTTACACTAAACTCGCGAAAGAGACCGACCCCAGATAGCTCAATCCATGGAGCTAATGCTGGCCAAACGAACAGTTGGAGAAAAGAACTCTTTAGCTCCATGGCGATTTGACTGTGTTCGTAGGATCTGAGCGCTGTTCCACGATATTGAGCGCTCAGACCCAAGCTATCTGGGATATGTCGAATGATGGGGTTCAAACAAAGTTATGTATTTTAATGTACTTTTGTAAAATAGAAATATTTTCTCTACCTGGAGATAATTAAGTTTTCATGTGGGAGTGTGTTATATGTGGGCACTGTATTTTGTGTTCCTGTCCTCCACAAGGTCTTTGTGGGAGTAACCCTTGCTGGAGCACCTGCATAAAAGGCCCAGCTGTGGCCATCAATAAACCAGATCGTTTTACCCTTTCATGAAGGCTTGGCTCATGTTTGGGGTATTGGGAGCTATAATTCACAACCCCTTTGTATTTACTTGGATTTCGGGAGCCGCTGCACAGATTTACTCAGCTGGAGTGTAAGATATTCTTAACACCCTACAACTGCCACCTATGGGAGCAGAAGAGGACGGCATGAGGAGGATTAGGAAACCTCTTAAGGGCGCGAACTTGTCCCCAGCTTCCACAACCAGCACACGTTGCCCACCTGGACTGAGAGCAAAGAGGGTTTTGACCCAAAGGTACCGGTCACACACGCGGAGGGCTAAGAGACTCAAATGGAGTCCCACACAGACAACAAGCAGCGCCCACCGCACTATCCCTAACAGGAAGACCCTGGACCTCGCAGTACTCCATGTTCGTGATATAAGGGTACCGGCTCTCTCGCAACCCCAGGGCTGGAGGGGCGCTCTGCCTCCACATTGCTACACTGCTCCCCAATGCAGACTGAGTCCACTCGCGAGAAACGACCCCCGTAGGGGCATCGGATGACTGTCTGGAGTATCAGCTAGATGGGCCTGTGACGGAACGCTGACACTCCGACTGAGTACCTCCGCCAATCGATGCGCCTAGTGCTCGCTGAGGACTCCAAGCACTCCAACCGACACCATCAGCACTGCAGACCCTACTTCCAGCAATACAGCTGCGCCGGGGTCTCGCCCACTCCACCCACCCTGGATCCACGACCAGGATCCAGCTCCCAGTGGGTGAACCTCTCCTAAATCCAGAGAGCGTAGCAGGAACAAATCAAGCTATTGCAAGAGTTTACTCTGGGGAGTAAGATTATAGCAATCCCCAGAGTGTAGTTTTCCAATCCCCCAAACATGAGCCAAGGCTTAATGCTGGAACAAGACTTTACTGGAAGTAACAACAACAGGTATTCAAGCTACAGTTTCTTTTATGCCCTGCTCCCATGCAGGGGAGGGACACACACGTTATCTACAGTAGCCAATAAAACAGAGGTTACAGCCCACACAAAATCCTCCCCTCTGCCTGTAATTCAATTATCTTATACAATAGAAGATTCAATTATCACATGCAGGAAAAATACAGTTTTTACAGCATATTCATAAAAATTATATATTCACAATCAATCCATCCAGGGAAACAACATATCAAAAAAATGGCATGAATCAGACCAGGGGTTCAGAAGTTAGTAAAGTATTTCTGGGGGGCCTGGCTGGCAGCATGGCTATCTGGCCCAAACCGGTTTTACAGAGCCCTCTATCCTGGAGACAATGGGGAAAATAATCCAATTATCCAGGGATAGAGGCAGACTCCATTGAGCACATGTTCCCAGTAAAACACAAAAGGATACAAAAATACATAACTCCTATCATACTGAATTGAACGGGCCAAATCTCCCAGGGTCCATAGTCACAGGGCAAGAGGAGGGCAAGCAGTCCTCTCCAGGCACAAGTGGCGAAGGGCACTTTGTCACAGTAATAAATCCATGAATAAAGTAGCAGGGAGGGAAAGTATTGAATGAATGAATGCTTCTCCAGGCACAAGTGGCGAAGGGCACTTCGTCACAGTAATAAATCCATGAATAAAGTAGCAGGGAGGGAAAGTATTGAATGAATGGAGGGGGATTCTTCACAGGGCCCACGACCGCCTTCACCATGCAGGACTCTATCACCATGTCCTATTGCAGACGGCGCAGCTTCGCAACCTGTCTAGTGATCTTAACTATGTATATTGCCTCACATTGCCAGCACACTAGGCCTGACACTACACCTACACTCTCTTACTCTGTGCTACACAACTTCTCACAGAATACACCATACACTTGCCACCCTCCACTATTTAGACAGGATGGCTTTGCGTACCATAGGCCTATTCATGTTATTATATATCTATCTGATTATATACCCAGCTAGCATGTTATACATTTTAATCAGCATCAGAAAGCCTAACATAGTCTTAATATCTGTAATGTGTTTCACTAATTCCTGCTACCATACCTTGAATCTTCACGCATGTTTATTAATCTAATATAAAATTGTGCACATCTAATCTACTACCCCGATTGTAAAGCTTGATATGATGCTAGAGGATTGCCGTTGGGGTACCTCGAGCTTGTTTGTACCTATCCTTTGCACAGCAAAAATCTAAAAAAAATTATTTTTATTTTTTTTTTAAAGTGCTTCCTCTTACCCAGTGAGCTGAGAGGCTGGTGAGTGTCCATCATTAAGTCATTGTAAGGTTCCTTGTGTCCTTCTAAATACTTCCACACCTACAAGGAAAATAAACAGTGACATCCCTCGCACCTAAGAGGAACCTGGCACACACAGTGATACAGTCACCATCCAGCCATATCCTCACACCTAACAGGAACCTGGCACACACAATGATACAGTTACCATCCAGACACATCCTCACACCTAACAGGAACCTGGCACACACAATGATACAGTCACTATCCAGTCACATCCTCACACCTAACAGGAACCTGGCACACACAATGATACAGTCACCATCCAGTCACATCCTCACACCTAACAGGAACCTGGCACACAATGATACAGTCACCATCCAGACACATCCTCACACCTAACAGGAACCTGGCACACACAATGATACAGTTACCATCCAGACACATCCTCACACCTAACAGGAACCTGAGACACACAATGATACAGTCACCATCCAGACACATCCTCACACCTAACAGGAACCTGACACACACAATGATACAGTTACCATCCAGACACATCCCTTTGATTTACTCTATATCACATCACATTCCCAGCAGCCTCGCCTCACCTCTCCAGTCAGCAGGTGGATGATTTTATTGGTCAGTTTCATGATCTTCTGCTCGTTGTTTCCATCATGCATCAGTGAGTGAGGTGGAGGCACCGTGCTGGGGCTCTGGATCCTGTTCGATCCATCCAACACACAGGGACTGTTGCTCTGTAGTATGGACTCAGCAGGCCTCTTCACAACAATATAATTCTACATAATGAAAGGAGGTCTAATGTGCATCAATGGAGTTAGAGAAAGACACACTACAAGTAAGAATTATCTGCTTTTAACATTCAATATTTCCCTGCCCATTGCTCACATGTTCCAGTAATTTGCTCAGAAAAGTCACAATGTCACCTCAAATATATTTAAAGTAAAACGGGTAACTGAAAACGGAATTATGGGATGTATATGTTCCAAGCTACTTTTGTATTGTTTTCCTTAGTCTAGAGATGCTTCAGTATTTTGGATGCTTGCTGAGAATCTTTAGGTGTCTAGATTGTGTCCTACATTTTACAAAAGTGCAGTTTTCCATAAAAAAAATGCAATTTTACTCAACGGATATTCCTTTTTCCTTAGTATGGTGGCAGTAAAATAAGAATGTACTCTTCCCGTTGGACAAGCATCTGAAATTAAAAATTAACATAAAAGTTCCTCCCCCAACAGGTATAAGACACCAACCTGACATGGAACCTCAGTACGTCCCAATAAAACCTCAGACACTTATTACTGCAAAAATATCAAAATTTATTAACAAAGGGAGGGAGTGATGTACTGCCACCATATTAAGGAAAAAGGAATTTACGGTGCGTAAAATTGCAGCTTTTCCTGACATATGGTGGCAGTACCTACCATAGGGATATATCGAAACCCCAGAGCTATGTGTGGGAATTATGCAACCACCGCTTGTAAATCCTTTTGCCTGAAAGCAGCGTCAGAGGCAGAGAATTTGTCTAGTCTGTAATAACTGACAAAGGTGTTGAATGAAGACCATGTAGCGGCTCTTTAGATATCTTCAGGTGAAGCACATGCTTTTTCGGCCCAGGAAGCAGCCATGGCTCTAGTAGAATGAGCTTTCAAGGAGGCAGGCAGAGGCAGATTTGAGGAGGAATAAGTCAATATAATCGCGCCCATGAGCCATCTCGCTAAAGTAGACTTGGAGGCAACATGACCTTTAAAGTTTCCAAAGAAATTGACAAAAAGATGGTCAGTCTTCCTGTATGTAGAGGAGCGGTCTAAGTAGATCTTCAGAGATCTTCCGACATCCAACTTGTGCCAATTATAATCCAAATCGGAGACAGATGGATAACCAAAGGAAGGCAGGGAAATTGGTTGATTGATAGCCATGAAAGGGATGACTTTAGGTAAAAAAGAAAGTTTTGGATACACAATAACCTTGTCAGGAAGAATTTTAGTAAATTCAGCAGATGAATTTCACCTATCCTCTTAGAGGAAGTTATGGCCACCAAAAATGCAGTTTTCAGAGACAGGAGCTTCAAGGAAGTTTCCTCCAAAGGTTCGAAAGGCTGGGTACAAAGAGACTTCAAAACCAAATATAGGTCCCAATAGGGAAAAAAAAAAATTTTTTGGGGAGGCTTCATAAGCCTGACAGCCTTAAAAAAATCTCCTGAAAGGATTTGAAGCCAAGTTTTTTTTTACCAAAAAATGGCTGAGAGCAGAAATGGCTGAGAGTAGATAAATGAAGACCTTTTTCACGGCCGTCTTGAAGAAAACGCAAGATTGTATCAGTAGAAGATCTTATGCAACGATGAGAGATGCACCAATGAAGAAATTTCGTCCAAATTTTCAAGTAGTTAGCTGAGGTAAAGTTTCTGGTAGAATTTAGCAACAACTTGAACCTCTCTTTCTTAATGCCCTTGTTATGCAGGATTAGCCGTGCAGAAGCCAAACGGTCAATTTGAACATTTGCAACAACTCTACTGGAACCCCTTCGTTCTCCTAGAGATCTGTTGACGCCGGAAGTTCCCAGTACTTCAAAACCATCTTCATTAAAACTGAGAACCAGCTTCAATTTGGCCAGTATGGGATTATGGCCTGGACCATTGCTTGTTCTGTTTTCACCTTTTACAGAATCCTTGGGATAAGACTCCACGGGGGAAATATGAATGCAAGGCTGAATTCCCACCTGATCAACAGCCCATCCAGAACATGTCTGCCTTTAAGAGGGAGGCAAATGCTATCACCTTTGCATTTGACCTTCTTGCCATTAGATCGATGACAGGCAGACCAAATCTTTTCACTAGTTGAGAAAAAAATGACCAGATTCAGAGACCACTCATTCTGGGACCATTCTTATCTGCTCAAATCGTCTGCTATAATGTTGTCTATCCCTCGTATATGAGTAGCGGACAGGTCGTCTAGATGACTTTGAGCCTAGGACATAATCCTTGTGCAAAGGGAGTGCAATTTTCTTACCCTCGTATCTCCTTGTTTGTTCAGGTAAGCCACCATAGTCTGATTGTCTGACTGCATTTTCACCACTTTCCCCACAATCAGAGCTCTGAACTGATGAAGAGCGTATAAGACGGTTATCAACTGCATGTAATTTTAAGATTCCCTTTTCTCATCTTCCGACCATGTGCCTTGCCTTAAGTGATACTGCAGGTGAGCCCCCCAACCTGTATTTGTAGGGTCCGTTGCAATTATTTTTGGGTCAAAAAGATAGTCCTTCTGCCATGAAACTGGTCTTTTGCCACCAAGTTAGTTGTCTTTTTACAGGATCTGATATACTTAGCAAAGCATCCAAGTCTTCTTTCTTTGACCACTGCGCAAGAATTTCCCACTGTAAATGCCTTGATTCTGCTCTGGCCCATTGTACTGCTGGGATGGTGGAGGTGAGGTGTCCCAACACCTGCATAGCTTTTATCCCAGAACATTCTGGTTTTCACTGAAGATCCTTTATCAGTTTCTTGAGCTTTCTTCTTTTTCACCCAGTTAGGTGAATAGAAAGAGTGTCTGACTTGATTTAAAAAAACCTAGAAACTGAATTGACCTTGTAAGGAAGCAGATGGGATTTTTCTAGGTTTATAACACAACCATGTTCTTTCAGGATTCTGAGGAGTTTAACCCCTTAAGGACACATGACATGTGTGACATGTCATGATTCCCTTTTATCCCAGATGTTTGGTCCTTAAGGGGTTAAGCCACATCCGACTCTAGAGCGTCTCTTGAATTTGCCTTTATGTGCTAGAGGTCCAATTATGGAACAACTGTGATTCCTTGCACCCTTAAGAAGGCTGTGAAAGTGATGAACCTTGTGACCTTTTCTTATGGCAAACCGCAGGTATTTTCTTGAGCCTACGTCCATAGGAATGTGAAGGTAGGCATCTTTTAAATCCAAAGTCGCCATAAAATCCCCTATTTGAAGGATATAAGTGACTGATGCTTTGGTTTCTATTCTGAAATGCTGGTATGGAATCCTTTTGTTTAGCTCTTTAAGATCCAAAATGGGATGAAAGTACATATCTGGTTTTGGGACCTGGAACAACCGGGAGTAGACACCCTGATATAGCTAGGTACTTGTAACTCTTTCTACAACTCCTTTCTTTAAAAGTGTGACTGTAGCGGAGAAGAGGGCATGTTTTTTAGTTTTGAACAATAGGAGGAGACAATGAAACTTGGTCTTGGAACACCTAAGAACCTTATTCTGTATCCCCTCGCAACCAGTTTTAGAATCCATGGATTTGCAGTGGTCTTCCTCCATCCGTGAGCAAATTGTTGTATTCGTCCACCCACTCGTATGGCGCCAGAATCTTTTTGCTCTGTCAGACTTGATGTCTTTGTGTGTGTCAAACCTCAAATCAACCTGGGTTTGTCTTGATACCTCCTACGGTTCTTGTACTTGAAGTTTTTGTTTCTGGGCTTCCATGAATACTTATTGTCCTGAGGGAGAGCCTTTTTGGTTTCCGACATTTGTCGGATTAATTCTTCCAAAGAAGAACCAAACAATTTCTTCCTCCCCAAAGGAAGTTCACACAGTGCAGATTTTGAGGCCGTATCAGCCGTCCAGACTTTAAGCTAAAGTGCCCTGCGGGCCACAGATGTCAAGCCCATGACACGAGACGAAAGTTTATTCACCTCCGTGATAACATCTAGCATGTATTAATTGGATAACCTTACATTTTGGAACAGGTAAGAAAGATCTTTGTCTTGGTGTTCACCCAGGCTATCTTCCAATCCTTGAAGCCGATGCTGCTCTAGCCTGAAATCCTGCTGCCTGATATTCTTTTCTGTTGGATGTTTCTGCCCTTTTATCCATAGGGTATTTAAGACCAGAGACTTCTCCAATCGGTATGGTAGTCTTTTTAGACAACTGAGCAACTTGTACGTCAATGACTGGCAAGTCTTTCCACTTGTCTTCTCCCTAATGCTCTTGAAATGTCTGGAAATAGATGCCCTCTGTACATAAGGTCCAAAATCTGCTGTTGAACTGGAAGGGCTTTTCTACTTGCTTTATTTGATGTGTCATCAGAGAAGGTAACATTAACTTCTTTAATAAACCTCCTCAATTCTTCATGTGGAAAACCGTTCTAATCTAGACAAAGATCTCTTCCATTTTAGCCTTTGTTTGGTTGTTGCTTTAACAGGAGCTGTAACCTTCTAGTCTGCAGAATCTTTGAATGACTCAAATGTCTGGGCCAGATGGTCTTGAAACCAAGACAAGAATGACTTCATGTCCTATTGCTTGCACTTATCCAGTGATAAGGACGAACACTGATTGCAGATTTTCCGTTTTGAACCATCTGGTAGTGGTGTGGAACATTCACTACAACTCAGATGTTTTGATTTAGAACTGGCTTTTTTTTTTAGGAGCAGGAGCAGGCAACTTGTCGCTATCCAGAATATCTGCAGAGACAGGACATATCTGCAACACACAAGAAATTACAAAACTGTTGTAAAAATTAAATAAAATAAATAAAATAGAGATCTTAAAGACAAGAAACTGAAAATAAATCACCTCTAAAACCTCTGACCTGTGTGGGGGGGAGTTGGTGACACGGAAGTTCCTTCCTGGCTAGCATCCATGCGGTCAGTCAGATCTGCACAGTTTAAATAGGCAGCATTGATTCAAATTTGGCACCATTTCCAGGAATTCCGACCGCACATGTGCAGTCGGAACGCCGCTGGAACGCATTACCACCCGGGCGTGCGTTCCACCACTGTGCGCATGCGTCTCGTACAGGTAGAGATTTGTTGCTGCTAGAGACCTCCTACTTGCTTTGCCAGTGACCGCATTCGGCATAAAGCAAGTTAAACATACCTGCTCCATAATTCCTGCAGGACGCAAGCAGGCCACTCAGCGCTCCACCAGGGAGGCTAATGGGCCGGATCCCCCTGGCAGCAACCCTTGTGCCTCACTACAACAAATCCAGATGCTGTCCGTTTCTGATGGAACAAAAAAGAGAACTGAGGTTCCATGGCAGGTCGTGTCTTATACCTGTTGGGGGAGGAACTATTATGTTAATTTTTCATATCAGATGCTTGTCCCATGGGAAGACTACATCCCAATTGTACTGCCACCATACTAAGGAAAAAGGAATATCCGGTGAGTAAAATTGCATTTTTTTTATGGAAAACTGCACTTTTGTAAAATGTAGGACACACTCTAGACACCTAAAGATTCTCAGCAAGCATCCAAAATACTGAAGCATCTCTAGACTAAGGAAAATTGACACTTTTATAAATTAATCCACATTAAATGACATCCATTAAGCTGTCAACCATATCAAAAGTTCTGTTACTTCCTGGTTTGGTTAGCTCAGTGGAACTAAACTCAAGAGGCAACAATTGTCCAGAGCACTTGCCTTGTAAAGGCTTCTCATTGAGCTGCATTGGAAAGTCTGTGATTGGACAGACACCGAAAGTCTGTGTGAGCTCACAAAGGCTGCAGACAAGAGGTCTCTAAATATGTCACTAATTTAAAAATGTATCAGTAAATGCATGTATTCATGTATCTAATAATTCTATTACAACAAAAACGCTAGATACCCCTACGGGGACCAGCAGGGTGTGTATCTAGGGCGTCCAAAATAGGGGATAAACCTCACTTATGTGTACAACTAGAAAAAGGGGAGACAGACCAGGTGGGTCAAAAGAAATAGGGTGCCCCCTGGTGAATTACCATATGTACATATAAAATATAACCTTTAATAATTACTACATTAAAATACTCATATTGAAAATAACAAAATGAGGATAACAAAACATGTTTTGTTATCCTCATTTTGTTATTTGCAATAGGAGTATTTTAATGTAGTAATTATTAAAGGTTATATTTTATACGTACATATATATATATATATATATATGGTAATTCACCAGGGGGCGCCCTATTTCTTTTGACCCACCTGGTCTGTCTCCCCTTTTTCTAATTATATTACAAGGTGTACATTATATAATGACTATACAAAGTGATTTCTTTCTATTTGGGCAGTGGAGTGTCCATTTAAATTTTGGATGTAGTGGTCCCAGGTGGGCTGTTTTCCTTGTTCTTTTATTTACTATGAAGGTAAAGAGTCATCACTTACAGACCTCTCCGTCCCCATTGGTGGTAATAGCAAAGGGCCTGATGGGTTCACTGTAACGGGCCGTTTTTGCACACATGAGGTTAAAAAACGTTTAGGCGATATTCCCCTTTCAGATGCACAGGCAGCTACTGCAATAACCAATCTCCCGAACTGCAAACACACAAATTCTCCCAGTCCCGAACTGGAACCATACGAATACTCCAACTCACGAACAGGAAACACACGAATGCTGTTAAACAGCCGAACAGGAAAAACCATCCGAACAGCTTACACTCCTGGCAGTCGCACTGTAACAGCATACAATCCAATTCCCCCCAAAAACGAGACGACACTGCGTTTGAGGATCAAGCAGAACTAGTTTACTGGGGCTACCTACCTGGCTTTTATGCAGGTCTTCCACCTGGTGGACACTCCCTTAGGGGACCAGATGGAAGACTGGGACACAAAGGGTAAAAGGACCAATCACATACTTACACATTTCAACAATCCCACAATGCATCATGTGACGAGACCAATCTCGCCACATTGCATTGGAGGAGCCTGGTTGCCCACCTGCTGCCTTTGGATTATGGACCGGCAGCTAAAGGGTTAATTTTACTGTGCAGAAGGATTTATTTCTCCCTTTCTGCACAGCCGTTCGGTAGATTCCATCTACCGAACAAACAGTTTCTTTTCAGCCTCCCCAGAGCCGTGGGAAGCCGGCCGGCGACCTTAATTGGCCACCCAGAAGCTGGAGTGCGCCCTCCATTTACCTCCCTGAAGCCGCGGTTAACCGCGGCTTAACGAGCGTGTGCCGGCAATTGACCACCCAGTAGCTGCGGTTAACCGCAGCTTAATTGATTGTTACTGGGTGGTCGCGGTTACACTTAGCCGCCACACGATGGCGGTGTTCTGGAGCTCCCCGGGCAGCCAGCGCTTTTCTGCCCGGCTTTCCTGCACCAAACCCGGACACTTTTACGTGCAGGCACCACTGAACCTCCAACCCCTGGTTCTAATTCGTACGGATTTAACAAATGCATGTAAATTCGGTATTTTATGTTGGAGGAATGTTTTAACCCAGATAGCCATGCCATGGAGCCTGTTCGTGGAATTAAAGACTTTGGCTCCATGGCAATTAAACTGTATTCGTGTGGTCTGAGTGCCATTCATCTAATAATGTGCACTCAGACCTGAGCTATCTGGGGATATGTTGCATGTATATATTTACTGTACCATTTGTCCCATTATGTATTTTAAAGTGATAGTCTGTCTTTGTGTAATGGAGTTTTGCCTTTGTCCTGGGAGATAATTGAATTACTTCTCCAGGGCAGAGGGGAGGAAGCCAGGATGCATTGTGGGGATGTTTTACTTCTGTATGTCTGTAATTGGTACATGTCTGTCTTTTGTCACAGTCTTCCATCTGGTCCCCTAGGGGAGTGTCCACCAGGTGTGAGACCTGCATAAATACTGGGCAGGTAGCCCTCATTAAACAGACCACTGCTTGACCCTCAACACGGAGCTCTGTCTCGTTCTTGGGGGGATTCACTGTATGCTGTTAGAGACTGATTGCCAGGAGTGTAAGCTGATTGTCTGCTTTTCCTGTTCGTCTGCTAGCAGCTATTTGGGAGGTTCCAGTTCGGGAGTTGAAGTGCTATTTTGTATCCAGTTCGGGAGTTTGGTGTTCTGCAGTAGCTGTGCCTGCATCACTGGAAAGGGGGACAATCGCCTAAACATTTTTTTCCCCTTTTGTGCAAAACGGTCCGTTACACATCACAATCCCTCCTCTCTGTCCTGGAGATAATTGGGAAGTAATCCAATTATCTCCAAGGACAGAGGCAAAACTCCATTACACACATTTTCAGTAAAACGACATAAAATTACACACGGTTACCTTTATCACATAAAACATACTACTACTACATTCTACATATCCCCAGATAGCTTAGATCTGAGCGCACATTATTACCGAATGGCGCTCAGATCACATACATACAGTTCATGGAGCCAAAGTCTTTAACATTCTCTTTCGATATACTGATAGGCTCCATGGCATAGCTATCTGGAGTAACAGCGTTCACACATAAAAATACCGAATGAACAAGCATTCGGTTAAATGCCCAAATGCAAGAGCTAGGAGGCTGGCAGTTCAGCGCACAAATAAGTGTCCGTTTCCAGTTCCATAGTTTGTGCGCTTAGCACCGCTGGCCGTTCGGGACTTTAAAATGCCAGCAGCCAGATGTTGGCTACACGAACAGCGACCTCCCAGCGTTCACCAATTAAGCTGCGGTTAACCGCAGCTTCTGGGAGGTCAATTGAAGGCACACGCCAGTTCCCAGGTGGTCGATCATTCGGTAGTTTGTTCGGTAGATTGAATCTACCGAACACCCAGGCAGAAAGGCACGAACAGTTTTAAACATGGGGCCATAGTCTAAATGGAGCCGGCGAGCAACCAGGCTCCTCCAGTGGTTGGTTCCGCCACATTCACCTTACCGACACCTCAGGGCAATCAGTTAACTACAGTTCCATTGTATAAAAGGTAAAATAAAAGTAAAAATGACATTCCCTCACCTCTCCAGTCAGCAGGTAGTTGACCTCCAGGGTTAGATCCAGAAACCTCTCCGTAATCTGATTCCTGTTTGTGTTTGGCATCATTCAGCCAATCAGGCAGCCTGAGAACAGGCTCTGGGGGTTGTGGACACAGAATATACAGTGGTTCTAGTTACAAATATATATATTGTGTATTCCAATGTACACTTAGCACCTAAAATAAAGAAAAAACAGAACGCAGATTAAATCCTCATTGTATCTACTAGTGTATCTGATAAATTAATAGCCTGTATATTTACCAACTTACATTGTACTCACAATAAATAACCTATAAAACTGTATAATTCGATCACACGCGTGGTATACTGATTTTATACTAACGTGATGGGGGCTGTATATTACAGACAGCGGGTCCTGAGTGATGTTATCCTTACATTATACAATGACCATATACAAGTTGTGTATATTATATAATGATTATATACAGGGTGTGCACATTATATAATGATTATATACAGGGTGTGCACATTATATAATGATTATATACAGGGTGTGCACATTATATAATGACTATATACAGGGTGTGCACATTATATAATGACTATATACAGGGTGTGCACATTATATAATGACTATATACAGGGTGTGCACATTATATAATGACTATATACAGGGTGTGCACATTACATAATGACTATATACAGGGTGTGCACATTACATAATGACTATATACAGGGTGTGCACATTACATAATGACTATATACAGGGTGTGCACATTACATAATGACTATATACAGGGTGTGCACATTACATAATGACTATATACAGGGTGTGCACATTACATAATGACTATATACAGGGTGTGCACATTACATAATGACTATATACAGGGTGTGCACATTATATAATGACTATATACAGGGTGTGTGTGGCAAATCTAGCCACTTGGACAATATACCGAGACTATGGCTTTAAGGGTTGCCTGTATGGTTTTGGTGATGTGTATATTCCTGGGTGTAATGTACTGTGATTGTATAATATTGTATTGCCTGCATTGGCTATCTGCCGAAAGCAGATAGCTGTATTTCATTTTGTTTCACGAACAGCACCTTTGTGGGCTGTTCGTGAACCGAATAGACTAACCTGTAAGAGACGTGTGGCGCTTGTTAACCGATTGCAACAATGTTGCAATCGGTAATTAGAGGCTCTCCTAGGTGGCCGTCGTTCGGCCATCTTGGATCCTTTGTTCCTCCAGCGGTGTTCGGTCGTCGAGCGCGGGGTACTGAAAACGGCTGCTCGACGGCGCGAACCCCGCTGGACTTCCAGGCCGTTTGGGAGTTACGGGACTTTCGGTAATTTACTCCCTTTATGTCAGTCGTTTGAATGTAAATGTTGGTGAATACGTTTTTCATGCGGCGTTCGGTTGTTTTAGCTGGGATCTGAGCGGTAATCTCACAAATTATGTGCTCGGACCCCAGATATCTACCGAACGTCCATTCGTTAAAATCACCCCAATATTGGGGAAGTTATGCATTTTTATGTGAATTGTAGGTTCTGCTGCACGGAGGGATAATCCACTTAACGGTACATTCCAGTGGGAGGATCCCTCTCGTGCAGCAGTGCCTGATGGGAGAAATGCTCTGTACATTAAGTTTCCCATGTAGTCCACTCCTGTAATGCCCCTGGGATGTGACTCAGGAAACCCCTTGTATGGGGAATTGTATAAATTCTGGAGCCTGTGAATAAAGCCTCAGTTGACTCTCAGAACTGTGTTTCATCCGTGTGACAAGACCAATCTCGCCACATTGCATTGGAGAAGCATATTTGCCAGCCTCCTTCCACATGACTATGGCCCCTGGGAGATGGTGAAAACGTATGCACTTTTATTGGGTGTGTATGGCCCTTTAAGACAGTCAGTGGGCATATTGTAGCTTATGGACTCTTTATGGGACTGGTGCTGACCCTTTAAACACCTTTTTGGGACATCAGGAAGATTGGGACACTGCCCCTGTGGCGAAACCAACCTCGCCACTGTACACTGGGGAGGCCTGGTTGCTCGCCTGCTCCCTTTAGACTATGGTCCTGCATTTTAAACTTTTATTTTACGGGCAGAAAGGTTTATTCGTGCCTTTCTGCGGACTGTTAAAGCCATGCTACCCCAGATAGCTATGCCATGGAGCCCAGCCATATACTGAAAGACTGTATGAAAGACTTTGGCTCCATGGCGATTGAACTGTATTATGTGATCTGAGCGCCATTCGGTAATAATGTGCACTCAGATCTAAGCTATCTGGGGATATGTAGAATGTCTATGTTTTATGGAATAAATGTAACTGTATGTAATTTTATGTCTTTTATTGTATTGTTACTGCCATGTGGTTAATGGAGTTTTGCCTCTGTCCTGGGAGATAATTGGATTACTTCACAATTATCTCCAGGACAGAGAGGAGGGATTGTGATGTAATTGTGGGTGTGTTTTATGGTTCTCCTGTAAACGATTGGTTGTACTGTGTCCCACCCTGTGGGATGTCCCCTTGCATGGGGACTTGCATTAAAGCCAGTGTGTGGCCATTACAGTGCAGTTCCTGCTTAACCCTCAAAGTGAAGTGTCGTCTCATTATTGGGGGAGGATTTACTGTATGCTGTTAGAGACTGATTGCCAGGAGTGTAAGCCGCTTGGGTGCTTTTCCTGTTCGTCTGCTAGCAGCTATTCGTGTGTCTCCAGTTCGTGAGTTTCGAGTATTCCCTTGGTTGCAGTTCGGGAGTTGGTGAATTCATGTGTTTGCAGTTCGGGAGATTGGTGCTTGCAGTAGCTGTCTGTGCAGCTGAAAAGGGGGAATATCGCCTAAACGTTTTTTAACCTCTTGTGGGCAAAACGGTCTGTTACAGCCCCTTTAAGACGGTGTCCCCAGACTTGTTTGGGACACTGCCCCTTAAAGACGGTGTCCCCTGTGTCCCCAGACCTGGTTCAAACCCTTTGTGCATGGCTATTTCCCACTTGGTTCAGTAAATGGGGCTTACTGAACCAAGTACCACACAGGCAGACCACCCAGAAGTGGAAGCGTGCAGGCAATTTACCTCCCAGAAGCTGCGGTTAACCGCAGCTTAATTGACAATGCTGGGTGGCCTTTGTTCGTTTGCCGAACATGTGGCAGCGGCCATCTTTGTTAATGCGAACGAGATCAGCGGTATGTTTAGCCAAATTCATGGAACTAAAATCGGCTACACATTTTCGCGAACACCGCTGAGCCCTACCTTCTCCCACAATGATTTTACAGCTGCAGAGACTAAGTCCCATTCGGCGATGGGACTTCGTCGTTTTTTTCAGCCTGAAATAGACCGGCCGCACAGCTCAAATCTATGGAACTGTTTTGGGCATGAAAATGTGCTTGCGGTCGGTCATAAAGGGACCTCCAGCTAACTTTTTAACCCCTGGATGGATTTGGCTGATTTTCTGGTTATGTTTAAAAGTGTGCTGATTCCAAATATGTAATTTTTATGAAGATTGGATGTGCATACTGTGGGGGCACATTGGTGCCAACTGATAGGCATGGGTCTTCAGGGGCCTGGTCATGGGATGCAGCCCATTGACCAAAACTGAAATTCTGGTCTTTCCTCCCTCAAGTGTTCTTACTCTTGTGTCTGTCTCCCTCCAAGTCAACGGTGCTACCATCAGCTCCACCACGCAGGCTCGCTGCGTTTTAAAGTTACAGTGTATGGATAAAAACTGTATTTTTACTGCCTGTGTTAATTATGTTAAACCATTGTGCAACATAATTATATCACAGGCAGAGGGGAGGATTTGTGTGTGTAATTGCTGGGAGTGTTTCTGTAATGTACGTTTATGATTGGTTGTTGTGTAAAACCCTGTGGGTGGTACTAATGTGTAAGAATGTGTATATAAGGATAATAAACCCACAGCTCTGTCTGTTCACTGCTTGACCCTCAACACGGAGCTTTGTCTCGTTCTTTGGGGGATTTATTGTATGCTGTTCCAGTTTGACTGCTAGGAGTGTAAACCTATTCGTATGGTTTTTCCTATTCGGCTGTTTACGGCATTCATATGGTTTCCTGTTCGGCGGATTGGTGTTCTGCAGTAGCTGTGCCTGTGTCTTTGGAAGGGAAGATCTACTAAACGGCGGTTTAAACCCTTTTATGCCTGGGGGTGCCGTTACATTCCGGTTACTGGGAGATTTGGGATATTGCCTTGCTTTTCAGCGCTTGACTGTGGATTACCTTCTTAACCAGCGGAGATCATGGGATTTAATATTGCGGCTCCGCTACAGTGTGTACATTATACAGTGACTATATACAGGGTGTGTACATTATACAGTGACTATATACAGGGTGTGTATATTATACAGTGACTATATACAGGGTGTGTACATTATACAGTGACGATATACAGGGTGTGTACGTTATACAGTGACTATATACAGGGTGTGTATATTATACAGTGACTATATACAGGGTGTGTACATTATACAGTGACTATATACAGGGTGTGTACGTTATACAGTGACGATATACAGGGTGTGTACGTTATACAGTGACTATATACATGGTGTGTACATTATTCAGTGACTATATACAGGGTGTGTACATTATACAGTCACTATATACAGGGTGTGTACATTATACAGTCACTATATACAGGGTGTGTACATTATACAGTCACTATATACAGGGTGTGTATATTATACAGTCACTATATACAGGGTGTGTACATTATACAGTCACTATATACAGGGTGTGTACATTATACAGTGACTATATACAGGGTGTGTATATTATACAGTGACTATATACAGGGTGTGTACATTATACAGTGACTATATACAGGGTGTGTATATTATACAGTGACTATATACAGGGTGTGTACATTATACAGTGACTATATACAGGGTGTGTACATTATACAGTGACTATATACAGGGTGTGTATATTATACAGTGACTATATACAGGGTGTGTATATTATACAGTGACTATATACAGGGTGTGTACATTATACAGTGACTATATACAGGGTGTGTATATTATACAGTGACTATATACAGGGTGTGTATATTATTCAGTGTATACTGGGGGGGGTGTATATTATTCAGTGTATACTGGGGGGTGTATATTATTCAGTGTATACTACAGGGTGTGTATATTATACAGTGACTATATACAGGGTGTGTATATTATACAGTCACTATATACAGGGTGTGT